CAGGCCCCTAATTTTAACAGAGTAAACACAGAAACTGCCACAGAAACCCAAACCTTTAAAAAGGGAAAAACCACAGTCACGCCACAGTCACCAAATTTCCCGGGAAACACGGAACTGCCACGCCCCCAAACCTTAAGAGAGAAACAGGAACTGCCACAGTCCCAAACCCTTACACAGGGGAAAACACAGGAACTGCCTCACCAACTTAACCCCCGGTAAAACAGGAACTGCCACGTCCCTAACTTACAAGATAAACACGGAACTGCGCAGCATGAATTTTACACAAAAGTAAACCAGGAACTGCCACAGTAAACCAAATTTTTACACATAGAAAACACAGGAACGGGCGCAGTCACCAAATTTAAAAAAGAGTAAAAAAGAATGCCAAGTCACCAAAATTAACACGAGTAAAAAAAACAGGAATTTGCACATTCACCTAACCTTAACAGAGTAAAACAGGAACGTACAGCACTAAAACTTAACAAGAAACACAAAAAACTCCCCACAGTACCAAATTAATACAAAACCACAGTCACTGCCACATCCCCTAATTTTACCAGGGGGAAACCAGGGCCCATCCCTAACCTTACAGAGATTAAACACGGGAACGCCACATACCTAACCTTACACAGAGGAAAACGGGGGAACGTCACAGTCCCCTATTAAACACGAGTAAACCAGGAACGACATCACCTAATTTTAACGGGAAAAAACATGGGAAAACTGTGCGTCACTGAATTTACCCAGAGTAAAACAGGAACTGGCACAGTCACCTAATTTTACATAGAAACCCCAGGAACGGGCGTCCCAAACTTAACACGGTAAACACGGAACTGCCACAGCAAAAAATTAACACAGGAAAACACAGGAAACGCCACTTCCCCAAACCCCTTACACAGGTAAAACCAGGAAACTAGGCAGCCCAACTTTAAAAAGAGTAAAACAGGAAACTCCCCACTCCCCTACTTTACACAGACTAAACACAGAACCCCAAGAAACCCTAATTTTTAAAAAGAAAACCAAGAAAAATACCAAAGTCACCTAACTTCACGGGGAAACACAGGAACTGCCACGTCCCCTAACTTTACCAGATAAAAAGAAACTGCCACAGAACCTAACTTTACCAGAGTAAACACAAAAAATTTCCCAAAGTAAAACCTAATTTTTCCGAGGAAACCAAAGGAACTCCCAAATCACCTCTTTTTACGAGTAAAACAGGAACGTCCAGCCCCTAACTTTACCATAGAAACCACGGAAATTTGGCGCAGACCAAATAACACGATAAACACGGCTGCCACGAAACCCAAAATTTCACAAGTAAACAGAAAAAACTCCAAAGTCACCTAATTTTACACAAGGGGGGAAAAACACAGGAACTGCCACAGTCCCCTAACTTTAACAGACTAAACAATAAACGCCACGTAACCTAACTTTACAAGGGGGAAAAACACAGAAAAACTCCCAAGTCACCTAATTTTAAACATAGAAACAGGGGAACTGCCACAGTCCCCAAATTTCACAAAGGAAACACGGGAACGCCACGCACCAAAAATTTTTACGGGTAAACACAGGAACTGCCACAGTCCCCTAATTTTTAACGAGGAACACAGGTCTGTCACAGTCACCTAATTTCACAAAAAAATCACAGGAACTGTCGAGTACCTAATTTTCCCAATAGAAAACATAGGAAGGGACACGTACCAATTTTTCCACGGGGAAAACAGAAACTGCAACATCCCCAAACCTTCCAGAGAAAAACCCCAAAAACGTCACAGTCCCAATTTACACAGAGGGAAACCAAAAAAACTGTCGCACCCACTGAACTTAAAATTTTAAAACACAGGAAGTCACTTCCCTATTTACACTAGAAAACACAGGAACTGTCGCATCCTGAATTAAACCAGAGAAAACACGTAACTCCACAGTCCCTAACTTACACAGAGGAAACAAGGAACGTAAGTCCCAAAACCTTACACAGAGTAAACCGGAACTGCACAGCCCCTAATTTTACAAAATAAACACAGAAACTCCCAATCCCCCATTTACCAAGTAAACCAGGAACTGCCACAGCCCCAACTTTACACAGGGGAAAAAAAACTGCCAAGCACCAAACCCCTTTAAAGAGAAAACAGGAACGCCACTGTCACCTAATTTTAACAAAAACAGAAAAAAACTGCCCAGTCCCTAATTTATAAGATAAACCAAAACTGTCACAGCCACCAAATTTTACCAGAGAAACACAGGAACTGGTGCAGTACCAAACTTAACAAGTAAAACGGAACTGACAGTCACCTAATTTTACACAAAGAAAAACAGAACCCCGCCAAGTCACCAAAACCTTTCATAGAGAAAACACGGGAACTGCCACGTCCCCAAACTTTCAAAAGGGAACCAAAAAACTCCCATTTCCCCTAACTTAACAGGAACACAGGAAACTGCCACAGTCCCCTAACCCTTTCAGAGAAAAACACGGGAAACTCCCACATCACCAACTTTACCAAGGAAAAAAGGGAACGCCACAGTCACCTTATTTTAGACAAGAACCCACAGGGAATTGCCAAGTAATAACTTTACAAAAGGGGAAACAAGGTTTGTATGTACTAACTTTACACTAAGTAATACAGGAACTTTCCACAGCACCAAACTTTAAAATAGAAAACACAGGACTGTCACGCCCCAATTTTTACACATATAAACCGGGAATGGTGGGGTCCCGAACTTAATACGGGGTAAAACAGGAACTGCCAGGTCCCCAACTTTACACAGAGTAAACACAGAAAGCCCCAAAACCCAAACCCTAAAAGAGAAAACCACAGTCCGCCACGTCCCCTAATTTTACACAGAGGAAAACAGGAAGGGGCCACAGCACCAAACCCTTAAGAGAGTAAACACGGGAAAATCCCACAGTCCCCTAACCTTACACAGGGAAACACGGTGTCACAGTACCAAACTTAACAAGAGTAAACACAGGAAACTGCCACAGTCACCTAATTTTACACGAGTAAACACAGGTGTCCAGTCACTAAAATTTACAAAGTAAACACGGAACTGCCCACGTCACCAATTTTACACATAGTAAACACAGGAACGGCACAGTCCCCAAACTTAACACAGGATAAACAAGGAACTGCCCGTCCCCTAACTTAACACAGAGAAAACACGGGGAACTCCCAACTTTCACCAAAACCTTCCCCAAGAGTAAAAACAGGAACGTCACAGCACTGAATTACACGGTAAACAGAAACCCACTAACCAAATTTAAATCAGGTAACCACAGTCACGCACAGTCCCTAATTTCCAGAAAAACACGGGAAAATCCACAGTCACCAAACCTTACAGAGAGTAAACCAGAACTCCCACAGTACCTACCCTACACAGGGGAAAAAAAACAGGTGTACAGCCCCCTAACTAACACGAGTAACACGGAACTGCCACAGTACCTAACTTTCAAAGAAAAAACATAGGAACTGTTGCAGTCACTGAACTTACACAGAGTAAACACAGGAACTGGCACAGTCACCTAACTTTACACATAGTAAACACAGGAACTGGCGCAGTCACCAAACTTAACACAGAGTAAACACAGGAACTGCCACAGTCACCTAACTTAACACAGAGTAAACACAGGAACTGCCACATTCACCTAACCTTACACAGAGTAAACACAGGAACTGGCGCAGTCACCGAACTTAATACAGAGTAAACACAGGAACTGCCACAGTCACCTAACTTTACACAGACTAAACACAGAAACTGCCACAGTAACCTAACTTTACACAGAGTAAACACAGAAACTACCAAAGTCACCTAACTTTACACAGAGGAAACACAGGAACTGCCACAGTCACCTAACTTTACACAGACTAAACACAGAAACTGCCACAGTAACCTAACTTTACACAGAGTAAACACAGAAACTACCAAAGTCACCTAACTTTACACAGAGGAAACACAGGAACTGCCACAGTCACCTAACTTTTTACAGAGTAAACACAGGAACTGTCACAGTCACCTAACTTTACACATAGTAACCACAGGAATTGGCGCAGTCACCAAACTTAACACAGAGTAAACACAGGAACTGCCACGGTCACCTAACTTTTCACAGAGTAAACACAGGAACTGGCGCAGTCACCGAACTTAATACAGAGTAAACACAGGAACTGCCACAGTCACCTAACTTTACACAGAGGAAACACAGGAACTGCCGCAGTCACCTAACCTTACACAGAGTAAACACAGGAACTGCCACAGTCACCTAACTTTACACAGAGTAAACACAGGAACTGTCGCACTCACTGAACTTAACACAGAGTAAACACAGGAACTGCCACAGTCACCTAAGAGGGGAGCAGTTTTTGTGTGTGTATGTGTGTGTGTGACATAGGCCTACATCACCAGTGCACCATTTCCCGCCTAAAGCGAAATTACACACGTGACATCATCACTTAAGTCAGGACCCCTAAATATATGCCTAGAAAAAATTGACCCATTATTTTCTTGACAAATGTCCCTATCAAGTGTCGAGTTCTAGAGGACCTTAGTGAAACCGCCATGGGGGGAGGGGGAGGGGTTGCTGGCACGGATCATCTCGGGGAAGGGGGGGGGGGGGTTTAGTGCGTGACATCACCCGTGTGAAGGAGACGGAGCACATTTATAATTAAAAGAGGAGATTATCCTGGACTGTGAGTTATGAGGTGTGTGTCCGTCGACACATTTCTTCCCCCTCTAAGGCAAATATTTTTTTCAGAGGGTTCGTTGTTTGTGGCCTGGGGCTGAGATAGAGTCCAGAGTCTCAATGGGCTGATATTTTCCACAGATGGAACTGTGTGTGTTTGTGTGTGTTGCAGAGAAATAAAACAGCATATGCAGACTGTTTTGAGTCAGTTTGTAAACTGTAACTATGGCAGAGCACCACACACACTCAAACCCCAGCCTTGGCTAAGAATATGTGACTGCAACTGTGGTCACCTGTGTGTGTGTGTGTGTGTGTGTTTCAGATCTGCGGGGTGTGGAAGAATCTTCCCCAATCCCACGTGCGACAGCTACAGGCAGAACAACTTCGGGTTACTATGACAACAGCCACCGGTAGACGGGAGGAGATCAAAGGAAAGATCATCAAACACAGAGCACTGTTCGCAGGTGAGTGAGTGTGTGTGTTTGTGTGTGTGTGCATGTATTTGTGGGTGCATGAAAGTATGTTTGTGTATCTGTTTAAATGTGGGTAGAAGTAGTCTCAATATTTCCATGAGTTAGGATTAATGTACATATGTGTACAGGTAACTGCCAAAATAAAGAACCCACTTTAGTAAATGAGGGGTACAATGTACAATACATTTGTGTACATTTCAATGAGGACAAACCTTCAGTAACCGAATGCAGTCAGAAGAAGGTGGTGTGTGTATATATCATGTGTGTTTATAATGTGAGTGTGATATCTGTGTGACCCCGCAGAGACGTTCAGCTCCACTCTGACCTCAGAAGAGGAGCATTCTGGGATGGGAGGCATCGCCATGCTGACTCTGAGTGACACAGAGAACAACCTTCACTTCGTCCTCATACTGCAGGGACTGATGCAACATAGAGAGAGAGGTGAGAGAGGGAGAGAGAGAGGGATGGGGGAAGAATGATACAACAGAGAGAGAGGTGAGAGAGGGAGCGAGAGAGATAGAGTTGAGAGAGAGGGAGGGAGGACTGATACAACATAGAGGTGAGAGAGGGAGGGAGGACTGATACAACATAGAGAGAGGTGAGAGAGGAAGGGAGGACTGATACAACATAGAGAGAGATGTGAGGGAGAGAGAGAGAGGGATGGAGGACTGATACAACATAGAGAGAGAGATGAGGGAGAGAGGGATGGAGAAGTGATACAAAATAGAGAGAGAGGTGAGAGAGGGATGGAGGACTGATACAACATAGAGAGAGAGGTGAGAGAGGGAGGGAGGAGAGAGGGATGGAGGACTGATACATAGAGAGAGGTGGGGGGGGTGGAGGGAGGACTGATACAACATAGAGAGAGCGGTGAGAGAGGGAGAGATGGAAGGAGGAAGGACTGATACAACACAGATAGGTGAGAGGTGGGGTGGAGGGAGGACTGATATAACATAGAGAGAGAGGTGAGAGAGGGAGGGAGGACTGATACAACATAGAGAGAGGTGAGAGAGGGAGGGAGGACTGATACAACATAGAGAGAGAAGTGAGAGAGGGAGAGAGAGAAGGATGGAGGAATGATACAACATAGAGAGAGAGGTGAGAGAGGTGAGAGAGGGAGGGAGGGAGAGAGGGATGGAGGACTGATACAACATAGAGAGAGAGGTGAGAGGGGGATGGAGGACTGATACGACATAGAGAGAGAGGTGAGAGAGGGATGGAGGACATATACAATATAGAAAGAGAGGTGAGAGAGGGAGAGAGAGAGGGATGGAGAACTGATACAATATAGAGAGAGAGGTGAGAGAGGGAGGGAGAGAGGGATGGAGGACTGATACAACATAGAGAGAGAGGTGAGAGAGGGAGGGATGGAAGGAGGGAGGACTGATACAATACAGAGAGGTGAGTGGGGAGTGGAGGGAGGGAGGTCTGATACAACACAGAGAGAGAGAGAGAGGTGAGAGAGGGACGGAGGAGATACAACATAGCTTAACATTTCAGCTTAATGGAGCTTCTGCTGTATTGCCTCTATCCTGTTCCTTCACTGGAGACTAGGAGGACTAGGAGGACTAGGGAACAACTTATGGGCTAAGATACTAGAGGTTGTTTTGGGACTGGGGACTAGGGAGTAATTTAGGGGCTAAGAGACTAGAGGTTGTTTTGGGGCTGGGGACTAGGGAACAACTTATGGGCTAAGATACTAGAGGTTGTTTTGTTACTGGGGACTAGGGAGTAATTTAGGGGCTAAGATACTAGAGGTTGTTTTGGGGCTGGGGACTAGGGAGTAATTTAGGGGCTAAGATACTAGAGGTTGTTTTGGGGCTGGGGACTAGGGGGTAATTTAGGGGCTAAGAGACTAGAGGTTGTTTTGGGACTGGGGACTAGGGAGGAACTTAGGGGCTAAGAGACTAGAGGTTGTTTTGGGGCTGGGGACTAGGGAGGAACTTAGGGGCTAAGAGACTAGAGGTTGTTTTGGGACTAGAAGATTGTTTTGGGACTAGGAGGTCTAGGGAGTAATTTAGGGTAGTAACTCAGGGGCTAAGACAAGAGACTAGAGGTTGTTTTGGGACTGGGGACTAGGGAGTGCTGTGAGGCAGTGTGATGTGGTTATAAGTTTGTTCTGTGTGCTCTCTCTCGGCCCTGTAGACTCCCCCCTGGTGCCCATCCTGGTACGACTGCATTACCGCCAACATGTCCTGAGAGAGATCCGTGCCAACGTCACCGCCTATGTATGTTATATAAACTACACGCACGCACACACACACACACTCTCTTTCTCTTTCTCTCTTGGGCACAGATCTAGGATCAGCTTGTCCTCACCAAACCAGATCCTAACCTCAACCATTAAGG